GTTACCATCTCTGCGTATCCTGCTGTGGCCAGCTCACAGGAGAAGCACAAGCTGCTAGCCCAGCTCACGTGGCCCCCCAGAATCAGGAGCACACCCCCTGTGAGGATCCCCAATCTCACATTCCTGCCCCAGGAGCCTGATGCCCAAAGGAGACAGGAGAGGGGCTGGTCCCCTGTGCTGGGAATGGGGCAGGCTGGGGCAGGTGGCTTCTGCCAGATCATGCCCGGCTGCGTTTGGGCTCCTCTTTGGAGAGGTGTGTGCCCTGTGCTGCTCTGGCAGCTGGGTGGCTCTGCCACCATTCCCGACATGGCAAAGCAAACACAGCAGGAACTGTGCACTGCAGAGTCCGGTGACAGCGTCAGGGTGTGCTCCAGGTGTCACCTTCCACCCCAGCCGTGCTGCCGAGAGAGGATCTGCTGTCTCCAGGATCCAGTCGCAGTACAGATCACTGAGTGCCAACCAGTAACAAGGGGGGGGACAAAAAGGGGGAAAAACCCCCAACTAATTAGCAGGCACTGAAAATCCCCAAGCCATTCTCTGCTGAAGTGGGAGCCACCATGGGAGAACAGCTCAGGCTTTGTGCACAGCCCACAGCAGCCATTTGAGGAGGTGAACAGGTTCTGGCACTAAATCCTGGGGCTGAATTACTCCATCCACCCGTAGCCAGATGGCAAAACCAACCAGTCCGGCCCTTCCATCAGAAGGGCCCTGTGCTGTTACGGGACACATCCCCCAGACAAGAGCCCTTTAAGTGACTGGGAACAACACACCGATTGAGTGGACACGCAGGTGAAGTGATGAGCTCCCTCCAGGGCACAGGTGAAGACACTTGTTCCTGCTGTGAGTGCAGGGCAGAGCCTGTCCTGGCCATGTTTCCAGTGGGCTGTGCTGGTTCCCACTTTACCAGCCAGCCCCAGAAGATGGCTGTGCTGCCCCAGCTCCCTGGCAGAAGCTGCTGCTGTCGGGGCTGAGCGTAGGCTCTTCAGCCTTGCTGGTCCCCAAAGGGAGGGGTGCCCAATGGCAGAACCCCCAGCAAAGGACCACCCCAGTGCTGTGCTGGCTCTGAGGGGACCACACTGCATCACCCCTGTGTCACTGCAGGCAGTGTGGCCCCTGTCCCCCTCTGGCAGGGTGCTGAGGGGGTGTAGGGTGGGTTTCCTGAAGCCCTGTCCTGGGGGACCCCCCGCTCCCCAGCGCTGACCCCGCACAGCTGCCGGCGCCGGCCCTGGGTTTAGCACCGGTGTTTGCAGAGCGTCGGGGCCTCCGAGGCTCACACTGTTTATACACTGTTTATTTGCTCCTCGTAACTGAAGATGTCCCTCAGCCCTGGAGCAGCTTCCTGGGAAAAGCCATTCTTCAGCAAATAAATAATTTCCCGGGTGGGGAGGAGGACGGAGGCGCAGCTGCCGGCTGGCTGCGGGGCACGGCCCGGGGCTGGTGCCGCTGCGGGGGGAGCCCTGGCCCTGTGCCCTGGAACACGTTCAGCAGCACCAGATGTTCCTGCCCGGCACAGCGGGCACAGCCCCGAGCGGATGGTGTCCGTGGGAGCTGGAAGCTCCCGCTCCTGGACCCCATCCTGCAGCTGGGGCAGGGGCTGAGGGAATGGGGGACCTGCACAGGGAGATTCGAGTCATGGAATCGGAGTCATTTAGGTTGGAAAAGACTCTCAAGAGTGTTCAACCATAAACTTAGCATTGCTAAGGAAAGCTCGGGCCCCACCTCCTTTGGCTGGTGTTTGCTGCGATGGACACAAACCCCAGCTCTTCTAATGCTCCTGGCATTGCTCCTGTCACTGCTCCTGTCACCTCCCTCTGCCGGGATGGCCCTGAGCCACTGTCCTGAGTGCTCCCATGGGGGGTGACCCCATTTCTGCACGCAGCAGGGTGTGTGGAGATGGGATATGGACACACAGGGTGCTGTGCAGGGCAGGGAGCTTGGGAGCAACCACCCCGGGCACGTCCTGGTGCCCTCGGCCGTGCCCTGCCGCGCTGCCCGCTGCCCTCCACGTGCCAGGAAGAGCTGGCTCTGCACGGCTGCGTGTGAGCAGCGTCTGGCACATCTGGTGACCACAATCCCCACGTTGTGAGTGCCCAGCCCGGTGGGGAAATGCCGCGTCCCGCCGGCGGCACAGATGGCCCAGGTCTGCCCGGGGCAGCCGCCCGCGCCCGGCCCTGAATGCCCGTTTTGTTGGCCAGGCTGGGGCAGGACGAGCCCCCACACTGCCCTGGCCCTGCTGCTCCATGAATACAGGCAGTGTCTGGACGCAAGGGCTGCACTTCAGGGCCCTGCACCCGCTGTCCTGGGGGCTCCCAGGAAAAGGTGACCCCAGGGGCTCCCTGGGACAGGGGCTGCTGTGTGCTGGGGCTCCTGGCCCCCGGCCAGCCCGGCTGTGCATCTGCAGGGAGATGGAGAAAGCCCCTGCGTCGGGCTGAGCAGAACCTGGCCACGAGAGTGGCCTGCGGGCAGCCCTCTCCTCCTGCCTCGCTGTGCCCTGGGTGCTGCTGGGGAAGGGGTGTTTGCAGGTGCCCCCTGCCACCCCGAGGGGCTGCCGTGCCAGGGGCTGGGGTGCTGTGGAGCTGGCAGCAGCAAGCCTGGGAACAGATTTCTCTTTCCACTGGTGAGTGAGTCAGCGGCGGCACCGCCAAGGCCCGTGGGTCCCCTCCCTTCCCTCCGGCCACCGTCACCACCCACCACCCGCTGCCCAGCCCTTTCCCACAGCTGCCCGGGGTTGTCAGCCTTGGCACCTGTGGCTCCACGTCGCCTCACATCCCTGCATCGCCCTGCAGCTCTCCAGACACCGAGCAGGGCCCCTGGTGGCACCAGCCATCTGCCACCAAACACGTCCCAGCGCGGGCGGCCGAATGGGTGGGGGTACAGCATGAGGACTGTGGCACTGGGACTGAGCCTCCTGCTCCCCATGGAGGACCTGGGGACTGCTGGGCTCTGCCAAGAGGCTGCTGGTGTGGCTGGGCACCACGTCCCAGGCACAGCTCTCTGCCGAGCCCCCGGTCCTGGAGCCTGGCTGTGCCTGGACAGCTGTGGGATCCGGGTGGAGGCAGCTCCTGGGGTGGGACAAGGACCCAGGTTTCGGTGCACCCCCAGTGGGTGCCAACAGGCTGCAGCCATGGACAGGCTCTGGCCAGGATGTCCCCTGGCACTGTGCCCTGCCCGCTGTACATCCTGCCCACCCAAAGACTGGCCACCCTTGGCTCACCTCAGCCCCGAGGCAGCTCTGTGCTGGGCCGGCACCATGGGGAGAGCAGGACGCCAGCCCGGGCAGCGGGGCCAGGAATGAGGCAAAACCACCACAAACAAACCAGCCCAGCCAGTAACTGAGAAGGAGGCGGGGGGGGATCAGGGCTCACTGCCCGGCTGCACCGAGGGCAGCCGTGCCCGCGGGAGGGGATTTTGGGACTGAGGGCTGCGGCACCAGAGCCACCTGCCCAGACGGCCTCGGCTGCCCTTCCCAGGCACCACATTGCTGTCACGGGGCCCTTGGGCACCACAGCCCCCCAACATCCCTGTCTCAAGCTTCATTTGCTGCTTGCTGCTGAACTGAGAGATTTTAATCTTTTAATCACGTTATGAGCCGAGGTGGTGCCGGCCACGCACAGGAGGAATGTCTGGAAGTCAGCAGCGCCCGTCGCGGTGGGAGCCCATCCTACCCCCACCCACATGTCCCCACCGTGTACTGCTTGGGGACCCCCATGCTCCCCAGCCTGCCTTGTCCTGCCTGAGACCGCAACTTGCACCAGGAAAAGGCCCCGGGACCAGAGACCAGGACCAGGCATCGGGGACAGGTGCCAGGACAAGGATCAGCTCGCTAAGGGCTGCTGGGGCTGAAGCTCCCCGCGGCAGCCCAAACGACCCAACACAAGGTAGTCCTCCGACCACGCAGGTTTCATTCCTCCCTTCCCATGTTTTCTGACCGAGGGGAGCAGGGGGCGACCGCAGCCCAGCCCCGCGCAGCACGGAGCCACGGCAGCCCCTGCGGAAGAACAACAAAGCCCTGGAATTATAGATGTGCCGGGAGTTTACTTTACCACAAAAAAATGTCAGAAATCCGTATTGTTTGGACAGGGATTTGCTGGGGATCGCTAGATAAAAGCCTGGCAGGGACCCAGCCCGGGGGGAAAAGTCGGCCGGTTCCTTTCTGTGGCGAGGACTCGCGGCCAAGCGAGGGGAGCAGCGCGGCGCTGGTGCGGGGTCCGGGCCGAGGCAGGGCAGGGGCGGCCGGGGCCGCCGTGAGCCGGAGCAGCACCTGGGAGCAGCGTGGGTCCGGGGAAAGGGGTGCCAGGCTGCCCACGCCTGGCACCGGCTTCAGGTCTTTGCAGGGGAAAACATTTCCTCATCCTTGGACACCGCCTGGCCCCGCGGCACCGAGAGTCCGGGCGCAGCCCCGCGGCCCCAGCCGGCGTGCGGGGCTCGGCGGGGCCCGGGGCAGGCTGCCCTGCGAGGTCCAGGCTGCCCTCGCACGCACGGACGGGGCCGGGAGGGCGCTGGGCGCGGGGGCTGCTCTCCCCCCGAGCCCCCCGGCAGCTCCGCGCTTGCCAAGCTCTGCAGCAGCGCCGGGGCAGCTGCTCCCGCCGTGCCCACGCTCAGCTGCTCCGCTCTCCAGCAGCGGGGCTCGGCTCCCGGCGGCTCTCGGGCTGCAGCTCAGGCTGGGCGATGCCAAATCCCCTTTACCCCAGGACCCAGCAGAGTTTGCTGCCCCGGGTCTGGTCTGGGACCCGCCTGCCACTGTGCTGCCGGGGGGATGTGGGGTGTCCCTCTGGGCTCGGTGTGGGGAGCTGTGCCTGCCAGGAGTGCCGTGAACAGCAGCCACATGTGACAGCAACCCCTGGGCACTCCTGGCCATGGGACAGGACACTGAGGGACAGGGATGGCGAGGGACAGGGACAGTGAGGGATGGGGCTGGCGAGCACCTGCCCTGCCCGCTCCTCCCTGCCCAGCTTGAGGACAAACGATAGCACATGCAGCCCACTTTCATATCTGTTATGTTTTAATACTGTTCACGTCTAAAATGACCAAAACCAAGCCAAGCGCCCGCAGCCCCTTGCCCTGCCTCACCTGGAGAGCGGGAGGGCCACGGGCTCCCCTGCCCAGGGCTCGCTGCAGGCAGGTGTGCAGGCAGGTGTGCAGACAGGACGCCCCGGTGCTGCAGGCTGGCTCCTCTGCACCCGCTGCCCGAAGGGGCCTCATACAGCTCCAGTGAATGCACTTAAATAACAAGCTAATGAGCGGCAAAAGCAAGGGCATCTTAACCACATTTCCTAAAATAGCAACCGGCACCTGTTGCTGGTGCCTGGCAGCCGGGGGCCCTGCCCGCCCCGCGGGGCCGGGGGCAGGCCAGGGCTCCGGGCTGTCCCGCACTGGTGCCGCTGGCAGCTGCGGTGCCGGCACACGGTCCTGGTGGGTGTGCGGGGAGGGGGCTCGGCTGGGGGCAGTGCAGTGGGTGCTCAGTGCAGTGGTATGGGGTGGGTGCTGCCGTGGTGCCAGCGGTGCCGGAGGGACGTGGGGCTGGGCTCTTCTCTGTTTCCCCAGGAAGGCGATGCCAGCCGAGCTGCCGCGGTCCCGGGGGCCACGTTGTTGTGGGGGTGTCTGCTGGGGGCTGTGCTCACGGGGACTCCCTGCCCCGCAGTGCAGCGGGCACGGGGCAGCTGACGGGCACAGAGGATGGGGAGGGGGTCGGGGTGGAAGCCGGGCTGTCGCCACAGCCCTGGTCCAGCTGGGGTCGGGGTGCCAGGCCCAGGCTGCGTCAGGGTGCCCCAGCCAGGCCCAGCAGAGGGTGGGCGCAGGAGTGCGGATGGGAACCCCCGGGCGCTCAGACCACGAAGTGGAGCCTGTATGTCATCTGATGGCCGTTGTCCCAGGCGTAGAGCACCTTCTCCTTGGGGTTGTAGTCGACCTGCGTGGTGAAGGAGTAGTGGTTGAGGAAGGGCAGTCGGAGCTCTGCCTCCGTGTTCGTGTGCGTGTCGAAGGCGTAGGAGATCTGCCCTTCCTTCTGGCTGTAGGTGTCTACAGCGTAGAGGATGCCGCAGATGATGAAGCAGTTCCCGTAGGTGTTGCGCTTCAGCCCCGTCTTCCAGGTGGTTTCCTTGCGCACCGAGAGGTCCCCGGGGTCGAGTCGGCTCAGCACGATCACCTCCTGCTGCGAGTAGTCGTAGTCCACAGAGGGGTAGATAACCCAGAGCCCGCTCTCGTCCACAGCAAAGTCAATGTCTGAGTGGCCCCTCCACTTCCAGGGCGTTGTGTCCTCATACACCACGTCGTGGAGCAGCGCCCAGCCCGCCACGTACCGCTCCTTCAGGTCATACTTGATGATGTTCTTGGTGAAGGCACGGTTGTAGTAGAAGGCCCCCCGGTACACCACGTGCCCGGTGCCGATCCAGTTGTAGGGCAGCTTGTAGAGGTTGCTCCAGCGGCCTGTGAGGGGGTGGGAGAGGCGCTGGGACCTGCTGCAGCACTGGGGTCCTGTGCACAATGGCCCGAGTGTGCTGGCAGTGGCAGGGGACTTGTGTTCCCCTCACTGCCCTGTGGGTGCTCCCCAGTGCAGGTCCCCACGAGCTGCCCACCGCCCCAGGGCTGGCACAGCCAGTGTCACACGGCACTGGGCGCTCACCCAGGAGGAGCCGAGGCCCCTGCACCCACTCGGCTGCTGACCCTCACCCTGCTTGAAGTTGTCGAGGCTCCTGAACTCCACCAGGCTGTTCCCATAGTAGTAGTTGGTGACATAGATACGGTCATCCTTGGCTGCCGGGTCCTTCATCCAGGCCCCCTCGTTGCGCCCGTAGCTGTGGTGCTCCATGGGAGGCTCCACCAACTCGATGGTGCCTTCGCACTCCACCTCCTTCACTGGGTACCGTGGAGGAGGAGAAGGACGAGGGCTTATCCCTGCCCCAGGCACCTGCCTCCTCCTCCTTCCCCACGGCATGGCTATTGCTGGCCTGGCCTGGCCATGGGCACTGGGACTGCTGGGCTGGGTGCCCCCTCCCAGCTGCCCCCCACTCACCCACCTCTGTTTGGTGTTTCGGGGTCCCCAGTGCTGTCATCCCCCTGCCCAAGGGGGCTGGGGGGGCTGCGGGTGGTGCTGCGGGGGGCCGGGGCAGTGCTGGGCACAGCCGTGGTGTTGGGCACGGTGGTCTCTGTCTGTGCAACAGCTTGGGCTGGGGTCCCCTCAGCTGGGGGGAGTGGGGGGCCCCTCTCCTCCTGCTGCTGCTCCGGCACAGCTGGCCCCCTTGCAGGGCTCTCTGTGGGGGGACAAGCTGGGAGTCAGTGCCTTTGCAGGGGCAGCCCCAGGCCCTCTGCCTCGGTGGGAGGGTGCTCCCATGCCCCCCGCCCGTGTCCCCCGCCGGGACTCACCGCGGCTGCCGGCCGGACCCTCCGCCGCTCCCGCCTGCCCCACCTTGTAGTACGTGATGCCTCGGACCACGGTCTGCTGGTGCGCCAGGGCCTTGGGCTTGGCTGTGGGCTGGGCCCCTGCCCTGGCCTTGGTGTTCTCCTTTTTGGGCTTCTCAGGCTTCAGTGGCTTCTCCTTGGGTGCTCGGGGGGCCGCCTTGTCCCCCAGTGCCTTGCGGGTGCTGGGGTACCGCCCCGCCTCCTTCTCTCGGCCGCCTGCCGTGTCCTGGGGGGCACAGCCTGTCAGACCCCCTCCCCTCCCATCCCTCCACTTCCCTGCTGCCACCGAACCAGGCGGTGGGCACAGGCACCAGCCCCTGGCTGCCAGGGGTGCGCCTCTCACAAGCCTGGGGGAGCTCAGCTCTGCCCGGCAGCACTGGCTGTGCCTGTGCAGGGCTGGGCCCTGGGGTACCTGTGGCTCAGGGTACGTGTGGCTCAGGGTACCTGTGCCTTGCTCTCGGGGACAGCAGCCGCGTCCTTCTGCAGCAGCTGGTAGCCCAGGTTGGAGATCTCCTTCTTGATGCTGAGCATGATGTCGGAGTAGTTCTCGTAGCGTTTCATCTGGTTGGTGAGGTGCAGGACGCTCTCCTTCATGAAGTCGTTCTCCCTGCTCAGGTTAGTCTTGATGGTCTGCAGGAGAGGAGAGGCTGGAACCACGGCACCCCCAGAAAGTCCTGAGCAGCTGAGCAGGGAGCACTGCAGGGACGGTGCTGCCGGAGCTCACCTCCTCCAGGGTGTTCATCTGCGCCACCACCTTGCTGATGTAGGAGTGCACCTTCATCAGGTCCATGCTGTACAGCGTTCCCTCCAGCAGGTCCACCATGGACTGCAGCTGCAGAGGAAGAGCAGGGATGGGCCACGGGGCAGGGCTGAGACAAAGGGCTGGGGCACAGCGTGGGGGTGAGGCACAGGGCACAGGAGTGGGCGCAGGGCAGGGCTGTGCAGTGCGGGGAGGGTGCGTCTGGCCCCCAGTCCCACCACGCCTCAGGTACCTTGAAGAGCTCCGGCGCCTGCTTCTTCAGCTTCTCCATCTTCCACTCGTTCTCGCAGGGGTTCAGCGAGGAGGGGGGCGCGGTGCAGGAGCACTTGCAGTCGGCCCCCGAGCTCACCGTCTCCACCGTGTAGAAATCCTCCACGCGCGCGCTGCCGTTCCTGACGCGGCTGCAGGCGTCCTTGCTCAGCGGCCGCAGGATGCACTTGCAGCGGCAGTCGGAGCCCTCCGAGGTCATCCTGACCTGGTCCGTGTCACCCAGCGCCTGCGGGACACGTGGTGAGCCTGGTGTCCCACCGGGGCCCCGCTGACCCCAGCAAGCCATCACAGCCATCCTCCTCTCTTTTGCCTGCCCGGAGCTCTCCCACCACCCCAGGGGCTCCTGGTTGTGCCCCAAAGAGCACGGGGCAGAGTCTGGCCCAGAGCACCGTGTCTCACCGCTCTGCACCCAGGCTGACAGTGACAAAGCCCAGGCAGCTGCTTGTCCCTACGGCCACCAGAGCGTTTTGTGGGCCAGGTAATCCAGGGCCACTTCTGTGGCTGTTTCCCAGCCTCCAGCAAGACCCGAGTGAGCAGGGGTGGTGGTAAGACCCAGCAGTGCCTCTGTGCCCCCACGCCCACGGCCTCCAGCCCACACAGGGTTCGTTGTTCGTGGTGACATTGCAGCCACCTCGGGGTGAGCTCGGCCCCTCCAGACTCCGGCAATGGCCTCAGGCACACACTCAAGGACTCCCTTGTTTCCACACATGGCCCTGACTCACGCTATGAGCCAGGGTGCTTTTCAGCTGGTTTGGCCCAGTTCTCCCCTAGTCCCGCTGTGCTCGGGAACAAGGGAACCGAGCCCCCCGAGCCCCCCACCACTGGCTGTGCACTCTGGGGGATGCCTGGGCTGGCAGGAGCTGTGCTGGGTGCCCCGTGTGCGGGGATGCGCCTGCTCCAAGCACCCGGGAGGGTGGGACAACAGCCACAGGCAGTGCAGTGACCCTGGAGGGACAGGGCTCTGCCCACAGGGACTCTGACTCATCCTGGGAAACAGAATGGTGGCAGAGCTGGGAAACAAGTTGAGCTCTGGCTCCCGGTCCTCCCTGGACCACAGCAGAGCACAGTGCGGCGTGGGAAAGGGCAGAGGCCCACGGGGTCCATGTCCTGCCTGCAGGCAGCACCCTTGGCCAGACAGGCACCCTCCCTCCAGAGCCCCACTGGGATGACACGCTGGTGGCACTGGGGCAGCAGCTCTTCCTGAGCACAGACCCCACAGCCCACATGGGACAGGGGCTTCCTTCTCTTCCTGAAGGGCTGCAAAACCTCATGCATTTTCCATTTCAAAAAACCCTCTTTCATTCAAAGGGAAACCAGGTCCCGCTGGCTGAAGGAAAACACCGGGGGGGCCAAAGGGCTGTAAATTGAGGAGGATCTAATCAAGCTCTCAGCAGGGAGCAGGGCAGGGACCCCCTCCCCAAACACTGAGTCGACAGGCTCGCACCTCTCCGGGCCCCCTGACCTCCCCATGGCCATGCTGGCGCTTGTGCAAACAGGCAGGAGGATTCACAGCCCGGCCACGAGCTGCCGGCCCCTCCTCACAGAGCCGGGCAGCTCCCCAGGCCCGAGCAATGTCCATCCAGGACACCGAGCTGCATGAGGTCCTGGTGTGCACACACATCCCTGTGGGAACCCCACACGAGGTCCCAATGTGCCCCATGGGAGTCCCACTTCAGTTCCTAGCCGGGGTCCCCTATTCCCACCAACACCCAAGCACTGGTGAAGGTTCCACCACTGCAGCACAGCCCCACACCCGGGCATACACTGCAATCCCACCCTCAGCACCTTCTGCAGGGCAGGGCTGCAGCTGCCTGGGCAGGCAGCTCTTTCCCAAAGGAGCAGGTGACCGTGGGCTGTGGGTCCCCTCCCACGGCCCTGGCACGCTGTGGTGGGAGGCATGAGTAGCACAGAGGCCCTGCATGTCCCACTGGGGTGAGGCACCAACAGGCGGGTGCCCAGAGCAGCCACAGCAGCTGTGACACTGCACGGTGAGGGGGTGTCCGGCACACAGAGCCTCCCCCAAGGCCGAGCCCTTCCCAGGGACCCCCCAGTTCCAGCCCCGTGTGTGCCTCACTGCTCCACGGCCGGGGCAGCCGCCCGCCTTCATGTGGGGCCGTAACACTAAACCTTGTTCTGCCTTTTACCAGCTCCTTAAACAGGAACCACATGTTCTGTTTACACAGAAAAACTCATAAACAAGGAAATATTAAAAACCAGGCTCTGACGTGGGGAGCCTCCGCAAGGGTCACCCGCCGTGGGTGCCCTCTGTCAGCCTGTGCCTGGCTGCGCCCGGCTTGGCAGGGCACAGCCCACACCTGCCATACACATGGACCCTCTCCTGAACGCTGGACAGGTGGGTGGGGATGTGGGGGCACAAGGCAGCCTGTGCTGCACTGCCTGTTCCAGGGAGGAATCCAACGGCTCCCTAAGAAACCCACACGAGGGCTGCTACAGCCCCATGGGGGCTCTGGTGGTTCTTTCCCTGGATCCCCCCGCTCACTGCAGACCCCAGCCCAGGGTGCAGGAGGTGGGTGCCACCCATCCTCTGGAGTGGGTCCCAGATCCACAGGGGATCACCATGGCTGGTGTGGGAGAGTGTCCCTGCACTTTGCTGAGGGTTTCCACACTCCCAGCTTTACGAGCTGGGTAATTTTCCCAGTTTCTGAAACCTCCTGCAAGAGCATCCATGTGAGCACTGAGTATGCGACATTATTTGGAGAAAGCAGGACCTTTGACAATGACCCTTGGCCAGCTTTTAAGCTCTCCTTTGGCTGCTGCCAGAGGACTCGTCTGGGAGGAAAACACGCTGTGTTGATAAGCTGCTGCGCCGCACGCCTCTGGCACAGCTGCTGGAAGGCATGTCCCCGTCACGGGAGGGAAACCATGTCACCCTCCTCTTCCTCCTCCTCCCAGGCTTGGCACAAGGTGTCAAACACGTCCTGCAGCCGAGGCAGAGCGGTGCTGGCAGGGCTGGGCCGTGGCTGACGGCAGCCAGGCCCCGGGTGCTGGCGCTGCTCGGGCGTCCTGTGTCGGTCATGGGGACACGGCCATGCCAAGCGCTCGTGTGGCACACACATGCCCACTGAAGGGATCTCATCCAACGGCAAGAACGGAGAAAACACCTCCGAGCACAGCAGGCAGCACCTGCGGGGAGGGAGGCACGGGGGAGGCGACAGCACCGTGTGGGTCCGTGGGCTGCGGATCCCAGAGTCCTTCGGGCAGCATCACCCCTGGCACCCCGCCGGGAACCCAGCACAGGGCATTCCAGGCTTTGGATATCTGTTCCAAGCCAAGCGCTGCTGACAACAGCTGTGTTATCGTCCTATCCCACCAAATGTCTTGGAAAATTCTGTATTTTTAACATTTTGGTGATCCTGGCAGTAGCTGCGCCCAGCACCATCCCTCTGGGCTGGATCCCGGTGTCCCTGCTCCGGCCCCTGAGGCCACTGACCCCGCGGGAGACAGGTTCCAGCTGGAACCGAGGGCTCCTGGATCCACGGGAGAGGCTGGCTCCCCCCGCTCCCCGCTCCTCACCCCCGCGGGGGAAGGCTTGTCCGGGCTATTCTCTCTGGCACCGAGTCGCTCATCGCAGCGCCCATCGCCGGGGCTTGGGCACCTCCCAACCCCGCGAGCGCGCCCCGCGCCCGGACCATTCCCTGCGCCCAACCCGCACCCGCACCGGCACCCGCACCCAGCACCTCCCGGGACCCCCGCCCGCTCCGCCCGGGACCCCCCAACCCACCGGGCACCGCCGGGGACACCGGACCTGCCCCACAGGGACGGGGCCGCCCCCGTCCGCTCCCAGCACCGCCGGGCACGGCGGCCGGGACCCCCCGGCCGTGGTCGCCATCCCGGTCCCGACCCCCGTCGGTGCCGGTGCGGCCCGTCCTTACCGTGGCGGTGCCGCGCGCCGCGGCCAGCGCCGGGAGCAGGAGCGCGGGGAGCAGCAGCGCCCGCATGGCGAGAGCGGCGGAGACCGCCCGCACCGAGCGCCCGCTCCGCCCGGCCCGGCCCGGCCCGGCCCGGCGGCGGGGAGGAGCCGCCCGTCCCGCCCGCCCGTCC